ATCATGGGCATCCACGCTTCTGAAATTTCTATTCCACTCTCCCTGTTGATGTTGATAGGTGAAGTCTTATATGAATTGCCTCTTTGACCCTGCGCGTGTAGTAATAAGGGTCACGATCAATAAACTTTACTTCGTTCCAGAGTGGCTTGTGTCCGGTCCGGTGTTGTGGGCATGCTCTGAAACGTCGGAGGTCTCGGTACGGGCGAGTCGAATGTTTCGATCGTGCTCGTTAATTCTGTCTTGCATAGGTCTTCCAGTCTCTCCGATGTACACCTTGCCGCATTCACAGGGAATCCTGTAAACTACGCCATCTTGTTTAGCCGGGTCGACAGCGTCTTTTGGTCGTACTGACTGAGATCTTAGCGTAGTCTCCGACTTGAAATCAGCGTGTACGCCTTGTTGTTGTAGGCAGCGGCGAAGCTGTTCGGACAGACCTTTGACATAAGGTAAAACCGCAGTAGCTTTGAACTCGTTAGCGCGTTTGGCACTGTTGTTTGGTTTTCCCGTCTTGGTAAGTTTCTACAAGAAAGAAAAAGGATAACCATCAGAAACCAGAACAGATAACAGATGTTTTTTCTCCTCGGAGATGACGGAGGGTTTTGTTACGAGACATTTGAGGCGCTCGTTAAGGCACTTAACGCGGTATTGTTAAGTACCTTAACGAGCACGCCATTATCCCTTTTCTTTCTTGCAGAAACTTACCAAGACCGGAAAACCAGAAGCATGGATGCCCGCGATAAAAAAATACAACAACAGGAGAGCCGTGCGACAGCGGATCTGCAAAGGAAGCGAATCACTGAGTGAACGGCAAGGATCGAAATGCACTAATCAAAGCTGTTGAAAAAACAAGTAATCACAGTAGAGCATCATGCTTTATAAGATCACGCACGACCAGTTGACCTCATCATCTGAAGAGGATCAGCAGTATGCAGTCGAAACGTCGCAATCTACGTCACACGGGACTACATCGTGAGACAAACGGAAAACTTAGCTTTTATTGTTATTCACCACGATGAATAACCACAACCTTTTCTACCAATATCAAGAATATTTTCATAGCAATCATTACCACACCACGATATTTGTGAATCTTTAGTCCTAATTCATCATTGTGAGCCGTTGATGTGTCTGTGGTGAGCTTTTATTCTTGATATTTTTTGTCATATTTTCTTTCCGCTCATTAATTCACAATCAAATATTAAAATTTTTGGTAATGAAAGCCTCCCAGTTACGTTGAATTTTCAAGGGATGAGAATCGCCTTTAGGGAAAATTATTCAGGGTTGTCATGAAGTAAAGTTTTGAAATAAAGAGGTTTAATGTGCTTTTTTCGTCAGTGAAAATAAGAGTGAACTGAATTATCTCGAGCGAGTGAAAACTAAATGATGTATTTGTTTTGCCTACCACAGACGACGATAGTCGACACATCAAATTCAAGGACCCAATACCGAATATGGCCATGAAAAGTCACGCGATCAAAAGTGCAGAGGTGCCAAACGAAGGGAGCTGCAGAGTAATGTGTTTGATGGAGCCTAATTGTGTGTCCATCAATGTTGGACCTGTTGTAGGAAGAAACCAAAAATGCGAGTTGAATAACGCCACGGAGGAAAACCATGCCCCAATTTTTCTCGTGAACAATCCGGGTTACACATATCTTGCAATTGAGGTAACATTTCACATTCTGACGAAACTAAGATGGTAGAACAGATTGCTTCATTTTCTTAGGCTAAAGTGATCTCATCCTTTACATAAGGAAGATCTGCACAAAAGTATATTTTGTTTTGTCATCAGAATCCATGCAACAGCAGCCCATGCTTAAACAGTGGCACCTGTCAAGCTGGA